AAAAAAAAAAAAAAAAGATAATTATATTTATTTATATCCCAATTTTCCAAATAAATACCCGCAGCGCCACAAGTAGAAAAAGCTTCAACCTTTCATCTTCCTCTCACGTTTTACACCATTCAGCAGCGCACGATAAACGTCGCGCTCTGCAACCATATATAGCCAAGAAAAAAAAAGGGGTCATAAATCTTGAGGTTTTATAAGGAGGGGCCATTGAGGATTTGCTTTATCGGTAAAGCAATTCCCAGAATTCACGTGCCCCATCCCAACGGAAATTCATTGTTTATTAAGCTCTTCCTGAGATCCTTTTCTCTTTTTAATTCCGCACGCCAGGGCTCAGCTTTTTCTTTTTCTTTCTATAAGTGCGTGTGGGTCAAGCGCACTCGCACTCGTTGGAGTTTTTGGAGATGGGATCGATGTGGGCTTTGACGGCCGCGGTCGTGGTGGTGGTGGGGTTAACGTTCGGCAGTGGCTATGGCTTCCCGGAGGAGGATTTGGTGGCCAGGTTGCCGGGTCAGCCGCCGGCGACGTTCAGGCAGTTTGCTGGGTATGTCGATGTGGATGTGGAGAGAGGGAGGAGCTTGTTTTACTACTTTGTGGAGGCTGCTGAGGAACCCCATCGCAAGCCCCTCACTTTATGGCTCAATGGAGGTGAGACTTTATTTAATTTTTTTTGTTCTTTGGAGCTCCAAAGTTTATCTGGGCTAGTGCATTGGGATTTTAGTTTAATTTAGCTGTTAATGATGGTTTATAAAGGTTGGTTTTGTTTGGGTTTGTCTTGTGTTGTTGATGGTTTTGAAAACATTAACAATAAGTGGGGGTATATTGTGAATAACAATAAGTTTGTACTTTTTAGCTGTGTTCTGTAGAATGTGCCTTTCCATGTAGGGAATGTATTGTTAGTAGAGCACATGGTTTCTTGAATTTTGGGCCAATTGTTGGGGTTCACTGTTGAACTCTACTTGGATATATATAACACCTGGTGAAAGAGAAAAAAATGGCAGTATGAAAATGTGGTTGTGATCAAGATTGAATATTTGCTTGATTGTTTTGAAAGCTTTTGTTTTCATTGTGCTCAGGGCCGGGTTGTTCATCTATCGGTGGAGGTGCCTTCACTGAGTTAGGTCCCTTCTTTCCTAAAGGTGATGGAAGAGGTCTCCGAGTGAATTCGAAATCATGGAACAAAGGTGAACAAGAAAATAGGGGTTTGCTAAAGCCAAATTTGTTCGATATGCTTAGACTGTCACTCAATCAGTCAATTTTAGTATTTCACTCGTTCGTTCTTTCTCTCTCTCTCTCGGTTTGCTCAGAAGTTATGTTTCTTGATTGTGTAGCTTCAAATCTTCTCTTTGTGGAGTCTCCGGCAGGGGTAGGATGGTCATATTCAAATACAAGCTCAGACTACACTTGTGGCGATGCATCCACAGGTAACAAAGTCGATCAAAAGAACTCTTAGTTGTCCAGCTTTTACTGTTATCCAATTGATTCGCGAAGTTTTTATATGTTATGATGATGTGCTGGTAATTAGAAATATTCGGTGTACTCCATAATCCAACCTATATAAGACAGTGTAACTGAAGCTAGATTTTTTCGTTTTATTTTATCGCAGCAAGCGATATGTACAAGTTCATGTTGGGGTGGTACAAGAAGTTTCCTTTATTGAGGACCAGAGATTTATTTTTGACAGGAGAAAGTTATGCAGGTAAGCACACTATTCGTATGAATTATGCAGACTCACAGAACATCAGTGCAATTTGTGACATTTGTCTCGGTTATTCTTTTGTAATTTTTTTTTTTTTTAAGAAAAAAGGTTCACTAATACATCCCGTTTGTGTTTTTTATTTTTTAAATTGAAGAGCGCGATTCGTTGTTTATATTTGTTCTTCATGTAAGAATCTTGTAAAAGATGGACTGATTAGGCCCCTTGATTTTGTTTCCCGGACATAATAGTTCTCGATAAAAGACATTTGATCTTTATTTTTGCAAACAGGACACTACATCCCGCAGTTAGCTGTTGCTCTTCTGGACCACAATGAACACTCCAAAGATTTCAAGTTCAACATTAAGGGAGTAGCTGTAAGTAAATACATCACTTATTTTACGAAGAAAAAAAAAATGATAAAAAATGTTTCAAGTCAATTTTCCATCTAGTTTTGTTATAGAAGAGAGACTTTATTAGGTTTATAATAATTTATTTTATTTTGGCAGATTGGAAATCCACTTCTGAGGCTAGACCGTGATGTTCCAGCAACTTACGAGTATTTCTGGTCACATGGAATGATTTCCGATGAAATCGGACTTACAATCATGAATGACTGTGATTTCGATGACTACACGTTTGACGATCCACATAACGTGTCGAAATCGTGCAACAGTGCCATTACCAAGGCGAATGAGATTGTTGGTGATTATATAAACAATTACGATGTGATTCTTGATGTGTGCTATCCATCAATAGTGGAGCAGGAGCTTCGTCTCAAAAAGATGGTAATATTATATACCATTTTCTAGTTATCTATTTATTTATTTAGTTATTTTTAGAGTTAAGAAAGGAAAAGGATTGTTAATTCAGTATGGCACGATTTACAGGCTACGAAGATAAGTTACGGTGTGGATGTTTGCATGAGCTATGAAAGGCGTTTCTACTTTAACCTTCCTGAGGTTCAGAAGGCTCTACATGCAAATCGAACAAATTTACCCTACAGTTGGTCCATGTGCAGTGGGTATGTTTTTAGACTTTTAGTACATGCAAATCAGAAAATATGCCCTTTCGGTTTAGCGCGAATTAAACAAACAATCTATTATCTGCCTCAAAATAAGAACTTGCACTGTACTTGTTTATAGTGTTCACTATTTGGCTTCCAAACTGAAAATCCCTACATTTCATATGTGCAGTGTTTTGAATTATAATGACACAGATGGAAATATCAATATTCTTCCATTGCTCAAGAGGATCATTCAGAATGGTATTCGAGTTTTGATCTTCAGGTAGAATAAAAATAATCTATTGGCCTCACTCACAACTTCATTAAAACCTCGATAATACTCCTTTTTTCTTTACGTATCAAGAAACTGACAGAAGAATATTCCATAATTTCGTAAATTTCAGTGGCGATCAAGATTCAGTCGTACCATTACTCGGTTCACGAACACTTGTACGCGAGCTCGCTCATGATCTTCAGATCGAAATCACATTACCATATGGAGCTTGGTTTCATAAAAAACAGGTACTTTTTTTTTCAACTAAATTACAAAAAACGTGCCATCTATTTTCTTCCCACTAACAAAATTTACGAGCAAGTTAACTCTTATGCGATTAATTAAACCAAACATATGGGGTGTTTTCTTTTTTTTTTTTTTTTT